CTTCACCAAAAGTCTTGTGGCAACCTGTCTGCGCTGGGCCTGCTCCCGCGGCGCTTCGGCGGCCCATGGAGCCCGCCGAACCAGGGTCCGGGGCCGACAACGAGCCCGACGACGCCTTAGTCGCGGCGCCGGACGAAGCCGAGGCGCTGCGCCCCGACGACGAGCTCGAGGCGCTCTACACCTGCACCCCGAACGCGCTCAGCGCGCCCGAGGCGGCGCTCGACCCCGACGCCGACGCCTACGCGGCGCTGAACCTCGAGGACGCGGAGAAGGAGATCCTGCGGCAGGTCGCGCGGGACGAGGTCGAGGCGCGCCTCGAGGACTGCGGCGCCGAGGACGTCGCGCTCGCGAGTTTGTACGCCGAGTGCCGGCGCTACGAGGCCATCGAGCGAGAAAGAGTCTCGTCCATCCTGCGGGGCCTGCGGTCCCAGGGCGCGGCGCTCCGCGAGATGATGGACGCGCACCGCGGGGCCGTGCGGGGCTGCGCGGGGCTGCTGCGGCCGTCCGTCGCCGGCGCGCGCGCGCTCGCGCTGTCCGTGGCCAAGGGGTCGCGGGCCATCGTGCACCGGGCCATCCGCCACATGGCCGTGTGCACGACGGTGGGGTCGCGCGCGCGCGCGTCCGTCGTCGACGCCGCGTCCTCCGTGGCGCTGCGCTGCGGCGCGGACGTGGAATTGCAGCAGACGGCGGCGGGCTTGGTCGCGTGGTTCGCGAACGTCGTCTGCAAGCAGTCCTTCAAGGCGCTGCGGGACGCGCTGCTGGAGGCGGCGCTGGAGCTGCGGCGCGCGGAGGCGGGCGACACCGGCGCCCGCGACGAGTTCGCGCGCCCCTTCGCGACCTTCGCGGAATTGGACGACGACCCCAAGGCCGACGCGGTCTTTAGGCTCCGCCGCGCGCTCCGGTCCGCGCGGGCCGCCGCGGCGGCCCGCGCGGCCGAGGGCGCGGGCGCCGCGGCATTGCGCGTCGCCGACGCCGGGCGCGTCGCGGCGCGGGACTGCGCGCGGCGGGCGAAGGGCGGCGCCGCGGGCGGCGCGGCGGAGCCCGCGGCGGAGCCCGCGGTCGTGTCCGCGGCGCAGTACGAGCTCGTGCTCGCCATCGGCCGGGCCGCGGGCCTGCCCGAGCGCACGCGCTGGTCCTTCGGGCTCTGCTGGCTCCACG